TGGAAGATATGCAGTTACAGCTACAAAGCCTTTATTAAGCAAAATTTTCATTACATTGAGTCAATTGATTCGAAAATATAATATAAAATTATACTTATAATATATTTTAATAAATAAATCAAATAAATGTGAAAAAAAATGTTAGAGGTGCACTGATTATTAAAAAAAAATTCTTATTATAAAATTATAAAATTGTCTTTTCAATAAAGACCTTTCAGCTCCTTGCAAAAGGTATGATACATCTTCATTTCAGCCTCGATATTCCAACAGTGTGTAGCTGCGGGACTTAATTACTTTAAAAATCTTAAATTATATGAGGATTTTTGTACTATAACTTTTAACAGAGCCTATTAATTAAGAGTGTATAAACAAAAATTTTTAATTATAAATTTATATTAAAAAATAAAAATTAATATTTAATTTATTAACTGATTAATTAAATTTATTTATGTAGGTTTAGTACTAAAAGAAATATTAATTTTTATATTTGATATGCAAATTTATTGTTAAAAAATATATTTAATGTACGATTTAGGTACTATTTAAGAAAACCCATTATATAAATAAGGTTAGTGGTTCAGAAGGTTCAAAACCATTTTGATAGATATATTTTGGGTTCATGTTAAGCATGTATTTAATACACATTTTAATAATTAAATTGATAAAATTAAAAGTAATTATTTTCTATGTAGCTTAATTGCTAGAAGATGCAATAAATAACTATTAACTTGTGCTTAGAGATGGTAAACAAGTGGGTTAGGTCAGGTTTGGGCTTGGTTTGATCGGGTCACAATTTTTATGAGTTGAGTCATATATTGGTTACGATTCAATAAGTGTTGATTCTAACCCAACCCTAACGAGTTATAAGTTGATCCACAAGTCATATTTTTTTTATTCTTTTATATAATTAGTCACGTTTTTAATACTAATCTATTAAAATTAAATTATAGTAACTTTGAATCGAAAAATATAAGATGAGTATATTTTCAAATCTTAATTATCATATTTGCCTCTATTTTATTCAAAAAAATTATTTTTATTTGGAGTACACTAACCTTTCAATACTTATATAAGTCCATAATTAATATTACACAATCTAACATTAATTATTTCTTACACAAACAAAAGTAACCATAAGAAATTGAGAATTGGCATTAGTCACAAAAGAAAAATAATACGCCTTGTAGCTTATCTTTTAACCCCTTTTAACTAAGGAAAAAACCTTACTTGAATTATCTTGAATATTTTGTTCTCATCCCATTGATAATTTTTGAAACTTCTCCATTTTATTCACCCAAATGGTTTAAACCACAGCTAAAAAGCTGAGAGTCTTGACTTTTCAAAACTTGCCATCTAGATGACTAGAAGGCAAATATAAATTGTACACCAATTATTTGTATAGAGAATCCAACAGTGGAAGACAATTTATGATTATTTTTTAATAATTTTGCTTCTCTCTATTTGATAAGTTTTAGCAAAATGACTTATTTTTTGTGAAATATATTTTGAATGATTCATTTAATTTTTTTAAAGGTAATCATATATAGTAGACAGTACTCGATTTATAAATTTTAAATGAATATAATCAGCCTTATTGAAAAGCTTTATAAATTATAATGGTCACTATTATATTTGAATTTTTTTTAAATTATATTTGTTAGTTACTTTGCCTTAAAAAATTATCTTATAAAAATAGGTTTTTAAACATTTTAAAAACAAACTGGTCAAATGGGTTAACTTGTGAACACACAAGTTGACTTGTGTTTGATCCATAACCTGTTTGGATTGACTTGAATGGGTCACGAATCCAATACTACTTTACCCTAACTTGTTTTTTATGGGTTGTGTTAGGATCGAGTGTAATTTTATCACCTCTACTTGTGCTTTAAATGTATAAATTAGAAAAACCCTTATCTTTTTAAACAGGGGAGTTTTATATAAGTGTTTAAATCATGAAATGAATTAAGATCAACTTATACTAGTGTCAGTATTATGTCAATTCTTAACTATTCATTTCAAAATTTCAACAATTAATGTAACATCTAAATTTTGAAAACGCTTTAAATTTTAAAATGTGTAATTGAAAAATGATATAAGAAATATTTAAACTTAAATAAGTGTAAATTAATCCGTACTCAAATTAAAAATTGTATAAAATAATCTTAAATAAAAATTTGAAAAATTAATTTGTACCATATTAAGATATTTAGCCATAAGAGAAAACTGTTTTTTTGTCCTCCAAAATGAAAAACAATACATAAAACAAAAAAAAAAAAAAATCTCTTTTTTATGTTTTACTTTTTTGTATCTCCTTTTTTTTTTTTTTTTTTTCTCTCTGGGTTTTGATCTCCTTTTCTTTTGAAAAGAAGAAGGTGTTTTTCAATATGAATTGTACTTGTTTTAGTATGGATACTGAAATTATAAAAAATATCTTTAGTAAAATTGCCCTCCATGTTTATTCTTTAATGATGTTTTAGTAATATTAGTAACTGGAGTACACTAAAAATCTAGTCTATACTAAAAAACACATTTTTCAAAATAATAATAAACCTCTTTGGAAAAAGAAGATTAATTGATATATACTCTAATTTAACAAACTGCACAATATACTCCTTAAAAAATCATTGTTTTCTAGTGTGAAATTAAGAGCAAATAAACTTTAAAACAAAGCTATGCATATAAGATGTGGGAACTAGCTAAATTGAGTTATACTTATATTATATTTTAATATTTAAACTAGATAAGTATCAAAAAGTATGTTAAATACTAATCATTTTCCTTAAAAAAACTATAGAATATGTTTAGCTTGGTTTTTGCTTCCAGATTAATTCTCTCTAGTCTCTACCATAGAACTTGAGCCAAACAAACATGCATTGATGGTAGAAACTAAATTGTAGAATATAATTCCATGTATCCATCCTAAAAGCAAAGATTTTTCATGAACTCTCTCTCTTTAAGAGAAGAAGAAATGTATGGGTGGGCTTCATTGCAACTTAACTCTTTTTCCCAAGGGAAATAAACAGAAGATATCTCATTCAAATATTTAATAAGATACAAATATATTCTATATTAATACACAATTAATTTGAAATTAAATTCTCTCTTTTTAATTTATTGTTGCACCTAAATCGGTTATAATATCTTCTATCTTCTACACAATTGAAGATTTCCTTTGACTAGGAAAAAAAAAACAGCACCCATACTGTAGAGATTTCAGAGTCATGAATTGTACTGCAAATGCAATCAGGAAATAAACAATAATTTATGACAAAATACATATAATCCTTCAAACTTCAAATAATTAAACATGTGTATCAAACTATCAAAGATGAGGTTCGAAAAGCACAGAATGTATATACAAAAATATTCAAGTTGTTCAATTTTCAAGGAGTACTCTTATCTCACCAGCAAGCGCTTAACTGAGAGAGCACTCATAACCTGTGCAAATATTCAACTAAAAACTTCTGTGCTGATGGGAAAAGTTAAAGAATAACTTTTCTTTTAAAATTAATTACCTCTGCCATGCAATGATTCTGCATTTTAAACTGTTGAGCACTCAACCTGGCTAACTTCATCCTCATCAGGAACCATGTTGAGATCCAAAAAGTTTTGCTGACGCTGATTCCTTGATTTCTCTGGTGATTTCTTAGCAACAGTCAAGTAAGAAAAATGAACTTTCTTATGCCCACCAAGTGCTTGACCAGATTCAAAAACTTTGTCACAAAATGGACATTCAAAGTTTCTCAGAATCACATCACCATTTGCAAACCCATCTTCATCTAGATTGCAGCTTTTGATGTTCTTGTGGCTTGCTTTGTGGCCGCCTAGGGCTTGATAAGATCGGAACTTCTTCTTGCATGTTCCACACTTGTATTTGTTGTGAGTCTTGCCGGAACGAGCATGTGTGATGCAGAACAACTCGCCATCATCTTCTTCCTCATTCACCTCCTCTCGTGCTCTTTTAACTTCTTTATTTTTGCCTTTTGTCCATTTGTCAGTTTTGAGCATTAAGAGACACATAGCAACTTCCTCATCAGGAAAAGCTTCGGTAATAGAACTTACCGATTCTGCCTCCGGATGAACCGACAACTGCACCTGCAACTGCACCTTATCCACCGCGCAGTTAGGATGCCGTTTGGATCTCCTTCGAGTCTGATTACTATCCCTAGGCAAGTCAGTATCGCTCTCCTTGTCAGCAAGATCAGATTTCTCCGGCGGAGAGTTTTGAGAAGAGGTCGGATAATTGGGTAGGGGAAGCGGGTTTGGATTGGGTTTTGGAGTGATGGGGAGTTTGGCGAGGTGAGATCTCATGTGACCGCCCATGGCTTTGCCATTGGCGAAGCTTCTGCTGCAGATCTTGCAGATTCGGCGGTCCATAGCTGGGAAAAAACTTTCTCAAGGAAACAAACAGGGAGAATAGAAAGGGCATGTAGTGTGTGAGAACTTAAAAGGAGTAGGTGATAAGCATTCCTTCAGCAAAATACACAAAAGCAGAAGGTACAGAATGAATATTTGCTTGCCAAAATGAAAAAATTTATTAAAATGATTTTATTTGGCAAAAAAATCTGAAAAATAGAGAATGTGATAAATGCGTGGAGGTCCTCCAGTGTGAGAGAGTTTTCTATATCACCGGTGTACCTCAACAGCAATAATTGAGTTGTCTATGAATCAATCACACGATTTTATCTCATGCGAAAAAGTCTTCTGAAGCATCGATTCACACGCACCTCAACAACGATAATTGAGTTATCTATCATTCATAAAAGCAAATTTAGTTTGATTAGATTTGTTTATGTGTGAAAATTTGATTGGCTTGTTATTTCATACATATGAACTTTGTATTTTAGACGACAATTGCAGTAAATAGGAAGTGTATGTCTATAAAGAATAAGTGGGTGTCCTTTTAAGATGCTAGCAAAGCTTTGATGGGGGTACATAAGTCAAAATGAAATTTTAGGGTATTTGATGCCTAGTTGGTGTCATGTATCAGTCATTACCCAAAGGTTTCTATTTTTAGTATAAACTCTCTAAGAAATATTTGAGAAAAAATATTTCTCAAAATATATTTTGATGATCAAATTTGGGGGTTAATTATAAGGATACATAGAATTTTAGGTGAAAAATATACTTTGTTATTTAAAAAAAGATGATGGTGTAATTGATATAAGACTTAATTATGTATAGGTGATTTTGACTCAAAATAGAGATAAATAGATAATATACTAGTAGATAACAACATGTAAGCTTCAAAAATATAAACTCTTTATACTGAACTCGGTCCATGGCTTTTGTTTTTGAAGATGAAAGAAGTCTTGTTATTGGAAAAATGCTAAGTAAGCCCTTAACGTTTTCATGTTGTGCAAAGAAGCCTTCTAGTTATTCGGTGGAAAATTGATCCTCAAGTTTTTTGATTTGTTGAATTTGGCCCATTTTTGTCTATGTACTGATGATACCGAGGCCTATTTAGCTGAGGGAATTTTTTTTTTTTTCATTTTTCATTTTTTTGAATGAAACTAGTGAGAGAGAATTTTTTTTTTCTTGAAAATGGTTTTGCTTAGAAAAGTTAATAAGAATTAAGATTGTTTTGTTAAGGTGGAAAAAAAATTCTAGGAACCAAACATAATCTATATGAACCAACATTCATTTTTATTTGCTGTACTATTTTCAAAGGGGAAGGGTTCAAAATTTTTTTTTTTTTAATATTTATGGTTAAAGCATTTTTAGTTTAGTTTTTGTGCACCTTAATACTAATTCCTCTCTAGTAATTTAATTGCTCACACCCCACATTAATTTGATACATTTAAAAAAATTAATTCTTTTAAGTGTTGGGCTCAAAACTTAAATCCTAAACATAATTTATAAAATCATATTAATTTACCAATAGAACTAGCCCTTGGGATTAAGCTTCGAGCCTTTTATTGCATCACTTATTTATACTAACTTGAAAGGGATTGGAAAATCATGTGAGACTAAATCTAATTTACAAATTAAATATTCTATAAAATTTTGTCCTTTTTTTAAACAATGTGTAATTGGAAGACAATATTACAATCTTTACAAAATGTAGGTCGACTCTTGAAAATGCGCTTCGGTCTTTTTCGGCAAGTATATTTGACACCTTAGACAAAGACGTCAACATGGTCAGGGTTAACAATATTTGTATGAATGAAAAGGAATTTGACATTAGAGCTTTCAACTTGAACTTATAGACAAAGTGGGGAGAATTTTTTTTTTTTAAGGAAGAAGACGAGGAAGAAAAAGAGAGGACTATATATGCCTTTTATATACCCAGCAATCTTCACACGTTTGTGTAGCAAAAAAATATAAATATACGTATAAATAAAAAATGTTAATCTTTGAGGACAGCATGTGTCAACACAATGTGAACATAATACTAAGCATTGCCAAAAACAGATGGATTCCCATTTAAGGTGTTGGATTGCACCAGCTGAAAAATAAAACAAGTTTCAAAATAGTGATTATGGAGACTGATATTAGGTGGTTCTTAACTTATGGATAAAATGTATATCAATCTTGATTTTTAAAATAATTAAAATTTTAACTTTAAATAATATTATTTTATTTAATTAAAATTTAATTTAAAATTCATAAGTTTATCTTATTAAATATTGATATTTATATTGAGAAACTGATTATTATATATTTAATATAATTGGTTTCTAAATCCATGTTTCAACATTTAATAAAATGAATTTTTTGAATTTTAAATTAAGTTTCAATTTTTGAGTGTATGGTGAATTTTTGAATTTTGAATTAAATTTTAATTAAATAAAACCATATCAGATTAGATTTCTAGTTTTTATTTTGAAAGTTGGGATTGAAAAAAAAAAGGTTTCAAAACAGTGATTATAGAAACCGATATTAGATGGTTATTAACGTATTATGTATATATACATTCATAAGAATAAATGTTGAGTTTGATCCCTAACCTTTGACCCAATTCTCAACTTTTCCCCTAACTTTCTTGTGTTATAAATTAAGTCCCAAAAGAATACCTATTGTTGTGTTTGATATGGGTTCCAAATTTCCTAGGAAGTAACATTTTGACCTCTTTTCAGTTATACTTTGTAACATTCAGCACAAATACAATGAAAAGGTATTTTTTTGCTCGAAACACATATTAAAAGTGTAATATGACATATATATTTATTAAAATATCCTTAACAAATCTCTTATGTTATGAATAGCATGCACCGATCAAGTAGCATAGATCCTGAGTTGAGGTTATTTACTTCCTGTGAATAACGTATTCGAATTCCATGAAACCTCTTTCCTTCTCTCCAATTAATATCTGTAAATGATTTCAATTTGTTCAAAAAAAATCTCTTATATTATTTTATTAATAACGTTTTAATAATTTTAGCATTTAAACTACATCCTTAAAGCTTAATCTGACTTGAAAAACATGAATATCCAAATAGAATTACGCTTCTATAATATATAAGGCATGTATGAAACCAAGAAAAAAAAAAAGGAAAAAGGAAAAATGAACAGATAATGGTAATTTAACATAAATAAATTTAAAAAGGAAAAAAAAAAAAATAGAATGACTAATTGGACCTACAAATCTACATTGAGGAAGCATGCCAGTCTTTTATTTATCGGCCTCTTGAGCCCAGCCCATTCCAAACTCCCTATTCCCGCCACGAGCTCTCCAAATTCCCGTATTCTACCGCTAACCTGTCACTTCCCGTCGAAGGAAACCCTTCTCGGAATCAATGGCCGATTCTAGGGTTTTCTCCGACTCCGTTCGCAGTTCTCAACGCTCCGGTGCGGGTACCATTAAGAGGATCCGACTGGAGAACTTCATGTGCCACAGTCTTCTCCAGATTGACCTGTGCGAGTGGGTCAATTTCATCACGGGACAAAACGGAAGTACGTATCTCTTTCTTTCTGTATAGTTGTAATTTGTTACGTATTAGGGTTTTAGTTTCTGGTTTTAGTGATGCGTGTAGGTGTGTATCTTCTTCTTAGTTTGGTTTTTGGGATTGGAGATCATGCATAAAGTATCAAACTTGGAGGTTTTAAACGAATTTGATGTGGGGTTGGTGCTGGTTTTTGTGGTGGACAGGTGGGAAAAGTGCGATTTTGACTGCTTTATGTGTTGTTTTTGGGTGCCGCGCCAAGGACACTCAGAGGGCGTCTAAGTTGAAGGATTTTATTAAAACTGGTTCCAGGTTTGTGGGTTTCTAATCTCTCGCTTAATTAACCTTAGTTTTGAGTAGTCTTTTCCAGGAAGGTCTCACTTTGTAAGGCATATGACGATGTTCTCATAGGCTTTATAGTAATATACTAGTTTATGGGTGATGTCGGGTCAATTTGGTTTGCTTCTTTCCTTCTATGTAATTACCTTGGACAGAGAACTGAAATAATTATACTTTCTGTTCACAAAAGAGCTCAGCACTTTAGCTTTGTTTGTCATGTCTAAAGTATAAATATTTTGTTTTCAGCTATGCTCTTGTTCACGTGGAAATCAAAAATCAAGGAGAGGATGCTTTTAAGCCTGAAACTTATGGTGATGCCATAATCTTAGAACGCAGGATTTCTGAGACTACCAGTTTCACCATTCTAAAGGATCATCAAGGTTTGAATTATGTGTTTATCTTGTTAACCTTGGTCATATCTATTTTCTATTTGATTTCTAAATGATCATTGAAGTTTGAGACCTGAGTCATTAGCATATGCATGATTATCTAGCACCTATTTGGATTCCTTTTTTTTTTTGTAAAATTTGGGGAAAATCATTATTTTATACTGCCTCCAAGATGACATTTATAATTTTAAGGGAATTGTGAGTAGCTGTCATGACTTTCTGATGAGGAGAAGAATTAGCAAACTGTGTTAAGAGTTTATTACTGTTTTATGTAGTATAGTGTTGGAGTCAAAATTTAAAAAGATAGAGAGAGAGAGAGAAAAAAACGAAAGCATTTAACTCAGATATGTTATTTATTTGTCAAATATCAGGAGATACAAAAGGAATTAAGGAAATCAAAGGGCAGAAGTTTGATGCCATGACAATGTGTCTAATCTTGGATACCTTCTAAAATTGAGGAAAACGAGGAAAGTTGTTGTAATGATTACATGGTGGCAAAGACATAGGTTGATCTCAATGCTGTTGTAATACAGTAGTTTTTGAAACAAGTTGAAGTAGAAAATAAAGAAAGATCCCTTTTGCATCTCTAAACAATTTTGGTATGACAAAAGATCATTATGAGGGTAAGGAGGACACATTGGAAGAAAAGAAGATGAAAATAGTTTAGGTGACTGCCCATTTTTATAAAATGCTGATGATCCACATGATAAATGAAACTAGTATGCCTGGGAGGATATTGTACTTTACTTATATGAAAGCACTGACACTTTTTTTTTTTTTAAAGGTAAGGGAAACTAGTTTTCACCTTGATCTCATCCACTTCTTTCTTTCCCATTTCTTATATATAAAAAGAGTGCTGTTGCTCTTCTCTAAGGTCAGGCATATACTTCAGTTGAATTTGGTTATTGGAACTTAACTCCATGTTTGAGGGGGTAACTTAACATTATACTGATGCAAAATCATTTATGGTAAACCTATAATGATAGGATTATTTTTTTTTTCTCTTTGTCCTTTTCTTTAATGATTATGATATTTATGTTGTGAACCTGTTCATTTGCTTTCTATTTATATCTGTTATGGTGTATGTGTTAGAGCATGTATTTCTTTCTATTTTTCTTTTTCATGCCATTGCCTTTTGTTTTGTTTGCATTCATGGCACTAGTGGTTATACAAGAGGATTGACATTTAAGTTATAATGCTTTCCATCTGACCTATCTAATAGGGAAAAAGGTTGCAAGTCGCAAAGAGGATCTTCGTGAGCTAGTGGAACATTTCAATGTAAGTGCTTTTTTAAAAAGTGTGCATGCTGATTCTCCTTAGCTGTGTTATTTCCTTGTTTCTTTATACTTCATAGTGTATGGTTTGTGCTAGTTACTTGAATTACTAATAAATTTTATTGTTGTCATGGCTATTGGCATTACTGCATTGAGATATTAGGTTCACTCATTTGGTAGTGTAATTAGAATGGTCTTACTTGGGATCATTTAATTTGAGAAGTTTCCAATAAGAAAATAACATTTTCTGCATTGATGCATTTCGTGGTTGTTGGCATTAGTGCATTGAGACATTAGGAACACTCATTTGTTATTGTAATTAGAATGGTGTCAATAAGAAAATAATATTTTCAGAATTGATGCATTTAACATTTAACTTTATTTTTCATAGGTTGCATTTTTTTGTGCATTTTTTTTTATTTGCACAAGGGGAGGCAACCCTCTACTATCTGTTTACCTACCCCACCCTACCCTCATATACTACAACTCAAAATCCAAAACCTCTTACTTTTACTAGAAAGAGATTACCACAGTGCCACTTAAGACTTAACTTTAGATGTTATATTTTGAATATTAGTAATGTTTTCAATTTCTTAAGGTTATCTTCTGACGGACTGTGTCTGCAATACCTCTTCTGTTTTCCTTTTTATTTTTATTTTTAATTCCTTGGAATGTTCATGTCTCCCTTCCATGCAGAACAGCCCATATAACACACTTTAAGATGTGACATGGTGAGGGCATAAGTATTCTATGTTAAATGGCTGGTCAACATTGAGTGTGTTATGCTAGCACAACACAAGTTCCTTGTTCTTAAATGAATTGTGTTTTCCAAAAAGAGATATCATAAGTTATAATGCAAGTATGCAACCCTTCCTATCCTACTGTTCCCTAAATCTCATGGTTATCCTTTTATTTTCCTCTCCATGATACTCTTTCCTTCTTGAACGTGCTCCCTAAGTTTTTGCTATTTAGAATTCTGAGTCTTCTGAAGTTGGCTTGCAGAAATCTACATGAGAATAACAGGTGTTTCAAGTCAATATTTTAGTTTTTCAAAAAATTCTTATATTGCTATAGTTCCTTATTCCATCTATCATTTGATGTCCTAAGGACTTCTTTTGTTCGTCAAATTTGGTCTGTTGGCAATTTCTGGTAGTTGGATAAGAAAGTGTATATCTCAAATTTTATATGTTTGTGGTATTGGGGACTGGTTGGGGTATTAAATTTAAATGGATCCATTCTTTTGTAGAATTGGTTTCTTTAATATCTGAATTTCTCTTAAATGTTTAAAACTCTTGCTTTCCTTTTGCAGATTGATGTTGAGAATCCCTGTGTCATTATGAGTCAAGACAAAAGCAGAGAGTTCTTACATTCTGGAAATGACAAAGATAAATTCAAAGTAATATCTATCACTTGCTTTTATTCTCAAAAGAACTATGTGAGTGTTATACTGACCCTTTTTGCTCAGTTTTTTTTTAAAGCTACACTTCTTCAGCAAGTTAATGATCTTCTAGTAAGTATTCATGAAGAACTGGACTCTGCAAGTGCAATTGTTGATGAATTGGAGAATTCAATAAGACCTGTAGAGAAAAAACTCATTGAACTGCAAGAAAAGATCAGAAACATGGAGCAAGTAGAAGAGATGTCCCTGGAGGTGCAGCAGTTAAGGAAGAAGCTTGCATGGTCATGGGTTTATGATGTGGACAAGCAAATGCAGGGGCAAAGTATGACCATTGAAAAGCTTAAAGATCGAATACCTGCTTGCCAAGCTAAAATTGATTCCATAATGGTACATAAATATATCTTGCTTAAAGTAGAACATGCTTCTTATTTCTATATTTCTGTTGTTGAAAGTTATTGATTTGAGGTATGCCAAAGAAGAAAGACGTCTAGGTATTTTCTATTGATCAGCTAGACTAACATAACAGGTTTTGTGCTTTGTAATATTTGGGATTGGACTCTTGCTTGTCATGTGAAAATGATTGATCATGAACAATTCTAATTATTTTACAGAATGAGATTGAAAAGCTGAAAGATCGCTTTTCAGAGAAGAAAGCTCAAGTTGCATGCTTGCTGGAGAGAACTTCGGAAGTGAGGAGGAGAAAGGATGAGTTATTGCAATATTCTTCCATGGTATGCCAGTAATTGGTTTTGTTCTTTTTCCTTGGTAGTTTTACTGGTCACCTTTTATTACCAAAATGTCCAATAATGGGTAAAATATCTGGTTCAGATAATACGTTAATTGATGTATAATATGCTATTTTTTCCAATGATGAGTGAAGTAACATGTTAAGAATTAAGATGATGCACTTGTTAATGTGTGATTTGCTATTTTTTTCTGCCTTTCCTCCTTGTGTTCTTTATTTTATATGTTGAAAAATCAAAGAAAAACACAAATAAACAACTTGTAGTCTACTTTTCTGTACTTAAACCTATTCTTATTTATTCCTTCTACCTTTTCTTTTGATTACATTTATTACAAGCTCCCTTCTTCTGATCCTAGTATGTTATATGTATTGTGTAAATTATGTGTTGATGTATCATTCTTTTCTTAGGCCAAAAAGCAGAAGTTTGAACTAAAAGAGGAGCATAAGCGTTTATTGAAATATATCCAAAAATTGGAAGATCGTAAGAGGATGCGTGAACAAGAAGTCCATGATATTGAAGAGCAACATGTTAGAAGTACACAGGTTGTTCTGTTCATGTTGTGTGGATTTTTTCCCCTTCTGTTTTGGTTGTGCTCTTTTTCTCCCTTAAAGCTTAGTTATTTTCTGTTTTGCCAGTTACTAAATGTGTGGTGCTTACCTCTGTAGATAATTTACTTAAATGTTTTCTACTTACCAGAATTTTTTTAATCAATTCTGACAGTTGTTTTTGCTGTCATATTCTAATGAGCCATGCAATGGAAAAGAAAGTTTCTTTTCTGATATTTAACTTAAACTTGAGAGATATTGTATCATAAAATTAAAAGAATGACATGCAATATGGAAAAAAATAAAGCAACAATTTGGATTCATTTTATGGCTTCTTCTTTTCATCTGAGCATTTATGCATGAATAACGGATCATTTGTAGGGAAATTATGCATGCCATTATTGACTTGTCATCTTCCAGTAGACATCCTGCATTGTATGACCAATTAGATTATATGCTTGTTCATTGAAGCCTTCTAGCAAAATCCTAATGTCTAACCATACAACCATAATAATTTATGCACAAAAGTGGAGGCCATAACCATACTGCATATCCTTGCATTTAATTTTAATTCCAATTTCATCCCATATGTTCATTTGTATCTTTTTATATTTTTCTTTGTATTTATCAAAAATTAATTTTTTAAGAATGGTTGTCTTTAGGATTTTAGTGTTTATAACATTAGGATTTAGACTCAAGAGTGCAGGATTTTAATAATGATCAAAATTCAATTGTTAAAGTAAAAGTATTTAAAGGACATTAGTGAACAAATTGTAATATTATGGTACATACTTGAAATTGAAAAGTTAGTGGCTGGGCTGCATGTAACATGTTTATCACAGTATTGGCCAGCCACTCAATGAACTTGTGTTCCACATTCTTTCTTTGAGATATAAATGAAGTTGCAAATATATTTTCCATGTTATGCTAATATTGCCCAAAACTTAGTTGCATCAGAAAGAATACAATGCCTCTTAACATATTCTGTCATTCTAAAGTGCTGGTTGTTGTTTTTTATTACATCATGGAGTAACTTTTTCCATTCAACTCAAAATCTCTGTTATTTGTTGTTTCCATTGCATTATGGGAGATGCAGTTTACACGAAAACATTCTTCCTGTTTATCTTTATTGCTTCAACAATCAAGTTTTGTTTGCCAACTCAGAGTGTCAGTATTGGTTGCCCTTTCCATATGTTATTGAAATGGAAGGTTCATTCCTTTAGTTTTGCTTTTTACAGGCTGAAGAATCTAAAATAGAGGAAAAGCTTAAGGACCTTGGTCATGCAATTGATGCTGCTGAGTTAACACTTTCAAGGTTTTGTACTAGTAAAATCCATTATCTTTAAGAATCATGTTAATGGTGTGTTTTAAGGTAGATCTTACTCAAACTTGGTTACATTTCAGATTGATGGAAGAAGAAGCTACTTTGTCAGAATATGTGTCCGTGGGAAGCAGTGAATTAGAAGCAATTAATCATGAGGTATATGTTACAGATGACAATAATAAATCCGTTAATTGATTGTCCCCTATATAATGAATCATTAGTTGATTTCCTTGCAATTGCATTGTGATAGGTATTGTAACCCTTGAATTAAAACATACTTGCATTATGTTTCAGTGTTCTCTTCTTCTTCTTCTTCTCTCTCTCTCTCTCCCTCCCTTTATTTTTTTATTTTTTATTTTTTTTGGGATAACATGGGTATCTTTTCTAGTTTGACTTCTTTCTCTGATCCCCCTACAACTATATGAAGTCCTTTAAACCATGCTGGATAAACCCAAGGGCAGGATGTCAGCGATCATTTTTATTGTTCCTTTCAGGGCAATGCTTTTGTCTAGTCATTTCTTTTTAACATCTGCTGTCATTTTTACATTTTTTATGTTTTCAGAACTCATATAATCCTGTCCAAGTATTTAGGGTGGTTTAGTCTGGTTTTACTTGAGTGGATGTGTGCATGTTTCACATTTTCTTTGAGTAAAATCATTGGAAAGCTGGGCATCTGATAGTACACTATGCTATTGGGGATAATCTTAATATAATTGGTTGACTTTTTTGTGGTAGTGTAGCTATGCAGCTCCGCATTTAGAATTGGAAAGACCTAATAAAATAACTATTAGCTCTTTCTTATCTTTATTTTTTGTTTCTTCAGAAACAATCAAATATAGCTTTTTGCTTTTGGTAATGAATCAAAATCTTAGCATTAAATGTGTAATTGAGTAATATCACTTTTCTATTGTTCAAACAGTTAATTTTACCAAGTTCACCATTAGATGGATTAGTCAATGTTTACATGTGTCACTGCAAAAAGGTTTTATTTGTAGGAAATAGTTTTCTTGGTTGTTTAATTTGTCATGTTTTCTCTGTGAGGTGTGAGTTTGTATTTAGGTTTGTAATGTTTTAGACACATAGTTTTGGCAATGGCCTGTCTTGATCAGTTTTTCATTTTCATTTCCTGCTGTTTCTGGAAAGGTGTATTTTGATAAATGCATGTTCTGCAGATTGAGTTATTGAAAACTTGGAAAGTATCCCTTTTCCTCTAACATACTTATGATTTGGATTTTGGCTTCTAGATTAATGATCGTGAAAAAAAGTTTAATGAGATTGTTAGTCAAATTCGTGAGCTTCAGGGGAGTCAAATAAACAGGGTATGTGCAAGTTCTTTGGTTTACTAGTCTCAGATGCTTGTAAAGAGAGAAGCATGCTTGTTTTATTTTGGAACATTAGAAGTTAGATGTAACTGGTAGGTCCTCTTTTAATATTTAGTTCTGAACTGCCATTTTCTCAATAGGTTACAGCTTTTGGAGGAGAAAGGGTGCGCTCTCTTTTACAAGTAGTTGAGAACCGTCAGCGAAGTTTCACAAGGCCGCCAATTGGTCCTATTGGCGCTCATGTAGTAAGTTGTAAAAGATTATTTGAGAACACTAGTCTGGCTGTTTTTGTGTATTTTTTTCACAGGATCTAAATGCTTAGGGATATATGATTTTATTCATTTCTTGTTTGATTGCTAAAATGAAGGAGACGAAAGAGTTTCATATAATTGATTCCTTGCAATATGGAAAGGGATCTTTAAGTGTGTTATCATCTTTCTCTTTCTTTTAGATATTGTCATATGAATGTCTGTTTCCATGCAACTCTGTTATGAATCCAGTGTAACTTCTGAACGTGGCATTTTGGTGTAATGATTATACGATGCAGACACTTGTCAATGGTGATACATGGGCTCCTGCTGTTGAACAAGCACTTGGAAATTTGCTTAATGCTTTTGTAGTTACAAATCATAAAGATGTACTTACTCTAAGAAAATGTGCCAAGGACATAAGTTATCATAACCTTCAGATTGTCATATATGACTTTTCAAAACCGAGGTACAAGGGTTATTATTCTCTTTTTATCTATGTTTCTCTTCTTCCCATGCATTCTGGTATTTGTGTCTTTATTTTCCCTCATGATATTCTGCTTTCGCTTGGTGTAGGTTGCATCTTCCACATCACATGCTTCCCCAGACCCAGCACCCAACAACTTTTAAAGTTTTACATTCTGATAATCCCACCGTTCTAAATGTTCTGGTGGATGTGGTAATTTACATCTTTCTTGTTGGGTGGGAGGGTGGTGTCTCTTTGTTTGTCTTATCCCTTATACGAGATACCTATTTCCAGTAGTTTTGTTGCCTTTTGACATCTTGCAAAAATTTTGCTTGTGTTTCCAGGGTCAAGCTGAGCGGCAGGTGCTTGTTAAAGATTATGATACTGGAAAGGCAGTTGCTTTTGAGCAACGAATCCCTAATCTAAAGGAGGTGTACACTTTGGATGGGTATAAAATGTAAGCAAGGAGTTGAACTCTTTCTTTTTGTAACGTGTTTATCGTATAATCTTTTTATTTATCACCAACAGCATTCTTAAAATGAAAAAAGGTATAGTGACCGGTATGTAAGAATATAACATTGAGCAGAAGTCAATAAAATTGTCAGGCAGCATCAGAATTGCTTTAGGGCCCTCTTATAGCATCAAAATATCACAAATAGCATATAAAAATTTGAGGTATCATCAAAGCGTATGGAACTGGCTATTTGATTGGTAGTCAAGAATGATTGGTTTTAAATGTCATGTATTCTTCTTTTTCTTTCTTTTTTCTTCTTCTTCTTTTCTTTTTTTGTAAGAATTTTAAAAGCCTATTGGTTGCAGAGGATCTTGAATGTTTCCAAAATGAAAGAAAAAATTACTTGAACAATTCTTCTTTGAACGAGATTTAGGATAGGCAATGTAGAAGTGATAGATTCTGCTATTATACTGTTTCTTTGACTGTCTGTTCATACTTCTTTTTTTTTTTTTTTTCCAAGAGTGCAGCCTGGACTTTTGATTGGCATTGAACACCATGCCATTTAAATCCTGTGAAATTATGAATCTTCTAAAGGATGTAAAATCAGCGAAATCTTAGTATTTAGTAGGTCAATTCATTCTCCTCTCATGTTCTTCTTAGGTTTCGCCGTGGTTCAGTCCAGACAATTCTTCCCCCAAATAAGAAGTCAAGAATTGGCCGCCTTTCTGGTTCTTTTGATCATCATATTCAGGATCTTGAAAAAGATGCATCAATTATGAAGGAAGAAACTCAACTCCGCAGAAAGAGGAAGAAGGAAATAGAGGAAAAGCTTAAGGATTTTCAAAGTAATATACACATTGTAAAGGTAATAATAACATGCCTTTTTTGTTTTTCCCCTTTTAGGTTGATTTTGTTTGCTTTACCATTATAGTCATCCCTGCTTGCTTTCTTCATCTGTAGAGAAGGCGTGCTGCTGCAGATAGGGATTTAATGGGTAAGAAAGATGAACGACAGGAAGTAATGAATTCACGAGATGCTGAAGCAAATCTATCGTCTGCAGCAACTGTTGATGAGCTTGTGGAAGAAATTTCAGTTTGTTCTGAAAACTCATATCACCTAGAATTTCAATGTCTTTGATGGCTTGACTGCATGTTAAAGTTTATTTCTTCTTTTCCTTTCTTAATAATTCTTTCACTTGTGGATGTGATTTTAGAAAGATGAAGAGGAGATCCAGCAAAACAAATTCTCACTTGAAAAGCTTGAAGTCAGAATGGATGAAGCTGAAGCTAAGGCGAAGGAACTTCAGATATCATTTGAGACTTTATGCGGTAGTTACAGTTTTCTTTATTTTTCATGTCACATTTAATGTTCCACATTTAGTGACTGATTTTTTTTGTGCATGATGCAAATGTAGAGTCAGCAAAAGAAGATATTGCTGCCTTTCAGAATGCAGAGAAGGAGCTAACAGATATTGAAGAAGACCTAAAATCCATGGAGATGGTACCCCTTTTTTTTCTTGAATAACTTTTGTTTCAGCTGCATATCTAGTAAGTTTCCTGATTTCAGTGTGCAAGTTTCTAATATTTTGAAATTTAAAATTCTTTACAGAAGAAGGACCACTATGAAGATGTAATGCAGAATAAGGTCCTTCATGATATTAAAGAAGCAGAGTTGCGGTATCAGGAGCTTCAAAATAACCATAAGGTAGATTCTGCCTACTTTATTTAATGCATTTAATTAGCTGCGTAATTTAAGTGCTGTCAGGACTGTAAAAGCGAAAACCAAAACTGAAAACTAAAACCACGAGATTAGCCACATGTTTGGTTGAGTTCTGAATGTTAACAAGAAGGTAAAAAACGCGTCTGGTTGCTTCTTATTATTTTCTTATCTGTAGGCCCTAAAAAGAGAAAGGTACTATAATTGGTATTGATCATTCTCTGTTTACTCAGAATTATAAAGTTAATGATTGACCAATCTGACATGTAATAGAAACAAGATGGAAAATAAAATTCATGGATTATTTGACTAAATGGAGAAGTCATGGGAGTGAGGGTGGTGTTATAACAATTATTGATTACATATAATAGGTCAATGCTGAATAGAGAAAGTGTTGATTCAAATGATGGAGATTTTTAACATAACCTCAAGTCTTCTCCTTTTACAGTTAAGAGATTTTGAACCTATAGCTGATAATAAAAATGAGGATTTTCAACATGTATGTTTCATGATCTTAACCCAATGCAAGTTTAATTGGATGAGTATAAAACTATTTGGCTTTATATGGACATCAATACAAGTTGGAAGGCTTAATTGAACCGAACAATACATGGCCAAGTATATTATAAGTACATGCATAAATGATTCCAAAAACAGGCATAACAGCAAACAATACATACTCCTTCAGAACTTGGATCTCATGATTTAAGCAACCATGAATATGTGATATGTACCCTAAATTCAAAACCAGCCTGAACTAGTTTCCCCTTTTTTTTTTTTTTTTTTAATTTGCCATATCCTCAACTAGTTTCTGAATACTCAAATCTCTCCCATTTCTCTATCAATTGATGAATTTTGATTATATATGTCTTAAAGTAAAATCTGTATGGAAAGCAGTGTTGGTAGTTCATTTATTGTTTCATGTATCTTATCAATTTCTACCCTTGTTGGTACTTTTTGTTCAAAATAAGTAGAAAGTAGAAACAGTACTATTGACTGGCCTTTCATTTTTAGGTTTCTTTGATTGCCTAGTATTTTACCTTCAGAATAAGGATTACATTTGACTTTTTAATTAAAGCTGTAATTATCTCTCATTGGTAGCTTTTGTTACACTTTGGCAAAATTGCAGGAGAGTTGCCGAAAGGCATCTATTATCTGTCCTGAGAGTGAAATTGAAGCTTTGGGTGGTAGGGATGGGAGTAATCCTGAGCAACTCAGTGCCCGATTAAACAGACTGAATCAGAGGCTTCAGCGTGAGAGCCAACAGTACGGCCTTGAGTGGTTAATTTAGTTGTTTCAGTTTCAAAGTATCCTCTTGTCTATGATGACCAATGAAATAACAATGTATTTTTTTTTTTTCCTTGTTGCAGATATTCTGAATCTATTGATGACCTCAGGATGTTGTATGAGGAAAAAGAGCATAAGATTTTGAGAAAACAGCAAACTTACAAGGCTTTTCGAGAAAAGTTAAACGTGAGTATTGCATTTCTTTGTCTTTTGACTTCTCAGAAGCTTGACAGGGTTTATGGTGGTTCAATTGACTATTTTATCATTTCTAGTTTACCTTGGCTTGCATTAGCTCCTGTTCTTAATTTGTATAATCACAGCCTGCTTTGTTGGCATATAATTAGTATTTCTTCCTGCTTTTTTCCTTTTTGATTTAACCATTATAGTTTTCTAAACCATGATAGATGGATAAATCAACTTCATGCTCTTTGTTATTAACTATGTACCATTTTTTAGTTTGTTGAGTCATATTAAAAACTAATTTCTTTAGTATCTATAAATTTATGTAATGTAATATGTTTTGGGTTAAACTGTCAGTTTGCTATTCTTTTATAGCCTAGTGGGGAAGAAGAAATAGAACCTAAAACATAATGACTGAAAAAGAGGGGTCACTGATTTTGTGCATTCTGGATAAGAGTATTTTCTTTCTTTTCATTTTTTATTTTCTTCATCATCATAAAAGTGGTGGAAGGATGGGGAAAATAAGAAAAAATTTGGAAGTGGACAGGAAAGGAAGAAATACGGAGAATAATCAGGAAATGAGTAGATAACACCACCCCCCCCACCCCAAAAAAAAAAAAAAAAAAAAAAGGCACATGAATTAGCAACTCTGTAATTCCTAAGAAATAAATAGTAATTTTGATTGACAAGACAAATGAAGTTGGTACAGCTACAGGTTTGACTTTATTGATGAGAAAGGTGTGGGAGTTGGGTGGCTTCTTGTCATGCCAATGCAAGTATTCAAATCTAGAGTAACAACATAGTCAATAAAAAGCAGAGTTTTGTTGTGCTTTTTCCAGCTCACACTATATTAAATATCATTATAAACCCATTGGGGTTGGCTCAAGTAAGTGGTGAGGATGGATGTTAACTATGCCTGAGAATGCAGGTTCTAGTCCTATTGCCATTTAAGTGCAAACAACTCCAATTGGCCACATTTGCCACTCTTGAAGGTGGAGTTTTGCCCAGTGCCTGTGGACAGTTTGTAAGCACCTATGGATTAGACGAGCCAATGGGCTGGATAACCATGTCATCCCAAAGCTAATTATCATTATGATTACTGATCAGTAATAATGATATAGTTCAGGGATAGTAAAGCTTCTAGCACCCAAGTTATTATCAATTTTAAGAGCTCCAGATTGACATGTGGCATCTTTAGATTTTATATATGTGTAGATGTATTCCCTCACTTGGACATCTTGTTAGGACTGGAACAAATTTCAGCTTATGCAGTCTGAGGGGTTTTCAATTTACAAGTCTGAAACATTTAGTTTAGGATGCCAATGGTTTTGGATGCAAGAGATTACAGTGTGCTTTTTGTTGCATATTTTTAAAACAAAAAAGTGACTTACAGGGCAGACTTTATATTATAAGTGTAGTCTGTCTTATGAATTTACTAGAATACACTTGATAAAAACTATTTCTTATGCTATTTCATTAAGGTATTTTAGCGAATTCATAGGATGGACTGCATTTTTAATGTACAGTCCAGACCGTAATATATGAATCCCTTTTCAAAAAGATGTTGAATCTTCAATTAGACTAGAAACTGCTATACTTCCAAATTTTAGAGGAAAGGATCAGTACCTTCGACTAGGCATCTGTTAGGCCACCTTTTTTTTTTTCGTTATGAAGTATCAGCCCTCTCATCAACTTGCTAATTTTTGTTGGTTGTCTGACTTTATTCATCTCTTTAATTTAGGCTTGCCAAAAGGCACTTGAGTTGCGTTGGAACAAGTTCAAAAGGAATGAAACTCTTCTGAGGCGGCAATTGACTTGGCAGTATGTATTGTGCCCATTGTAGCTTTGAATTTTATGTTTTATGGTGCATGATTTTCTTTCTCAATGGAGGATTTCTTTTGTACGTTTTTTAATGTTGTGGAATTAGATTTAATAGCCACTTGGGAAAGAAAGGGATCAGTGGACACATTAAAATTAGTTACGAGGAAAAGACACTTTCAGTAGAGGTGAGAAATTTGCCTTCACTTATGTCATTCTTTTTGTGTTAACTTGTAGCACTACTGTGCTGTACCTCAATGTTGGTTACCTAAACAGTTTTAAGCTGTAGGTGTTCCTCTTTTGTTTACTTCTTTTTTGTTTTTTTTCTTACTCTATTTGACAGGTAAAGATGCCCCAAGATGCATCAAGCAGCACTGTTCGTGATACCAGAGGGCTTTCGGGTATTTTCCTGATCCTTATATTTAGGGCACTGAAGTTTTGTGAACTTCAGTTTCATTGTGTTAAAGAAAGTTTATAATGATAATACAATTGGTGGTTTTCTTTGTTAGGAGTTTTAGACTACTGGAATATCTTCCTGGTGTTTCTTTATCTTATATGTGATTTCACCCTAATTAGGTGGAGAGCGTTCCTTCTCAACATTATGCTTTGCACTAGCACTTCATGAAATGACAGAAGCTCCATTTCGAGCAATGGATGAGTTTGATGTGTTTATGGTAAGTTTTCTTTCTTTATTTATTAGGGTTAAGATAATGTTGCCTTTTTTGTAGGTGTGTGAAATTTGATATCTTAATATGGTCATTTATCTTCAGAATGGTTATCTTCGTTTGTCTATTTAAAATGTGGAAGTATTGTCTATTACAACAATTGTTGCGCTCTGGGTTTCTATTCAGGATGCGGTTAGCCGGAAAATCAGCTTGGAAACTTTAATAGATTTTGCACTTGCACAAGGCTCACAGTGGATATTTATTACACCTCATGATATCAGGTAATGTTTTGTTCTTGGACATGTCCATACTCATACTTCCATATGTATGTTGATCTTGATTCCATTAGGAATTTTTACATTTTAGCTTTTGAGTTTATCCGAGCAAAGAGATGATACTGCCTAACATTCCATTTGACAAATTAACTGAACCCTCTGGTACCTTGTGATAACAGTATGGTGAAGCAAGGGGAGAGAGTGAAGAAACAGCAGATGGCAGCTCCTCGTTCTTGATTGCTTCTTTTAACTTTATTTAAACCCTGTGTATAAACTAAAATGTTATGCTCTGGCCAACTTGCACACATGGTTTGGTATGGTGTTTCAAGTCATAGATGCAAGTTGGAATCCTAACTTACGAATTCTAATCTCTTTGGGGTGGGTTAGTGGGACGTTCGGCCACTCAAGGTCGGTCCAACCGCTGTACCATCTGATCATAACTGATAAAGCTCTAATGTTTTGATAGAATTTTATTTGATCAGCAGCTTATATTTGGCTGACAATTGACTAAAATTATAAAAAAAAATGAAAATTTCCTTGTAAGTGTAAACGTTGCTCTATATGGATATGAAATGAACTCATATCCCCTTTTATATTTTACTGGTTCCAGGATCCAGACGCATCAGTGAGGTTCATGGGTAACGTATATTCATAATAAGTACCACTCAGCAACAGATTTAAATATACTTTAATAGCACTGGCTTGTAGCTGTTGTTGTAAGTTTTTATGTCTTCAATGTTTTAAAAATATATAAAATATATTTAATATATATTTTAATTAATATTTTATATTTTTTAAAAAATAAAAAGATATAAAAATTAAAAGTAAAATACTGATATATGTTGGCAAAATAGAGCTTCACAATATATCCATGTTGAGCAACGTTTAAACTTAAACAGCATAACACTGTGAACTTTTGACGCTAGTAAACCTAAGTATGATAGCCCACATGCGATGGATTAGAAAAGTTGAGAAGTGCCAGAAGAAAGGGTCAACATAACTATTCCAGAAACAAAGTCACTTTGTTTAACTCTTCTACCGTAATGTAGCACAAGAAAACATCATATTTTTTGGTCTTAGTGTGTACGAAGACAATACACTAGCATATAAGAATCTGACAGTTGAAATTGTGAAATCAGGTGAATAAAATTCATTTGGTATCAACGAAAATCAATGGCTAACAAGGAGCACACAAACTCAAATAACCCGATCTTAGATTACAAGCTCATCATCAAGAATGCCCCATTCAGAACAACCAAATCAAGTGTGTCCCCTTCAAAACAAGTGGAACACTAAAGAAACAAAACAGCCTGTAGGCAAATTATTATTGCATCATGGTTCAATTGCACATATAAACCCCACTCTCATAGCGGTGACTGACCTCATAAAAGTCTGTCTTACCCTCCGAAGCAGGCCGTAGACAAACACCAGAGAATGATGTAATTCCTTGTGCTGAAAATTTTACATAGCCAACAACTTCAAGTTCTTCATTGTCCTCACTGGAATCCACAGGCATTCTAGCTCTCAAACGGCCGGGAGTACCCTTTAGTGGAATCTCTGGTACATGCCATTTCAATTCTTTTTCAGGCCTATTCAACACTGCTTTGGGTGAAACCTTAAGCAAAGTAGGATCAACAGGTAATTTCAAAACAAAGGTCACATCATTCAAGGGTGCTGGTAAATTAGGGTTTGAGGCATACTGAATCATCACTGAAAGTAAGGTACCACTGTGCCGTGTTATCAACCTAACTCTCAGAGGCAATGGCGTCAACCTAGGTAGCAAACTATACTTCAAAATCGGAATAGGCTCCTCTGATGGAGCCGTCCTGACATGAAACATGCCATTACCTAGGCTACTAACTCGAGAACTCTGCATAACAAACCGTTTAACAGCACTTGTTCCCTCAACCCGAAAGGAAAATTCAGTCTCCTTATCACCAGAACTTTTAGGAGGCAATGTCCTCAAATAAACCACACCCATTAACCCAACTCTAGCAAGCAGAGATTCCCTAAACTCAGCATTAATCTCCTCCGAGATGTACATCTCTGGCCCTTTCATTTCTGTCTTCTTCACCAAGAGATCCTCAAGAGGAGTTCCAGCAGCTCCACTTGCCGCTACATTTGGAGGTGCAGGGCCGTCCCCTGTCTGCAATAGCTCAAGTCCACTGAGTCCCTCCTGTCTTGGAGCCTTCTTTGTTCCAACAAACTCTGATACATCCAATCCCCCACCCCATGCATCACTAAAACCTTCAAACGCCTCTCCCAGAGAAGCCTGATCATTGCTGAACGCAATCCCGCCGTACTCCCCTTCAAATCCTTCTACAGTAATATGCGTAGATTGTGTGGCCTCTGCTGGTGGCAATGTAGTTACCTCCAAACCTGCCAATGCCACAGTCAAATCTGTGGCTGACGGATCCTTGGTCTTCTTAAAGCCACCCACCAATTCCTCCTGCTTGTTGATGGCGTCACTTGGTGCAAACGGGTCCTTCACCTCTGGTTCCTCGGATTTCTGTGCTTTATCATCCTGCTGCTCACCTGCACTCTGGGGAACAAGACTCACAGCAACCTCATCTCCAGCCGCAATAGTCTCCGGTGGCAATTCAAAATTGACGTTCGAAAAGGCCTCAATGCTGGCCTTGTGCTCCACTGAATGCACCTCAACTGAAGTCCAGCTATCAGCGCCGCGGATCTTGGCTTCGGTGTCCAGAGCGGAATGGACCATCTTCGCGATGCCATCACCGTGCATCGAAGAGAGCATGGCAGCTAGTCGGATGTGGCTAACTCCACGGAGAACAATGTCAAGCGCCATATAGACCTCGGCATACTTCCGGGCGAGCTTCTCAGGGGTGACATCAACGCCACGGCAGGCAGTGACGATAACGCTGACAGCCTGGTTGACGATGTTGATGCACTCAAAGACATTGATAGAATTGTCATGGTCGGCAGTGGTGACGCCGAGAACGTAGATGGAATTAACAAGGCGGTAGACCACGCGGTACTTGCTCTCCACGCCCACGATCAGCTGCCCACTTGACGCAGCAAGGGGATCATCACCGATAGATTCGGTGGCCGCATCGGTGTCGGAAGAGAAAACAGCAGCGGCAGCGGCAGCGGCAACTGCGGCGGAGGGGTTTTTGCGCGCGAAGGAGAGTCGGGTTTGACGGAAGGCGTGGAGGGCGATCAGGGCTCTGGCAGGAGGGAACCACTCCCGAGTTTGGAGGAGGATGTCTGGTCCGTTGGCGGGCTGGAGGGAGAGCGCCAGGCACGACATTATTTCGTCCGAGATCTGTTAGGGTTGACCTAGGTTATGAAGCTCTGATACAAATCCAGGGACTGATCGGAGTAGATCTGAGTGAGATCGTCGGAAAATGACGATTGGGCTTCACTTCTGAAAATTGAATCGAGAGAGAAAATTGGAACACAGAGAGAGAGAGAGAGAAAGAGAGAGACACTCCGGCGAGATTTGGACGCAGCGATGCGATGATGGGACAGAGACGGTTGTTCTGGTAGTTGATAATGGGCTGGGTGTGAATAAAATGGGCTTTGATAAAAGAAAAATCTAGTTGATAATGGGCTGGGTATGATCCTGTCTTTAGAATTAAGGACTTTAATTTAAAAGGAAAAAAAATCAGCATATCCAAAATCTCTAAAAATAATGACGGGATAAATTTAATAAAATTAGGGTTGATATTATATTTGACATATTTAAATAATTTTATAAAAAATTTTAGCATTTAAAATGCTAAGAAACATTAAATTTTTTTTTTCTCAATCAATAAACTAATGGACAGTGGATCAGTTCAGAGCCTTTGGGTTTGATTAGGCCTTGTGATTTTGGATTTTTCTAAGGGAAAATGATTCAGAGTCTGAACTTTGAAGGCCCGAACAGGTACTTTTAGCGGGCTTGAGAGGATTGGGAATTTGAGGTAGGGGAGTACTGCTGGGTAGAGGTTGAATATCAAATATATTTGGTATTTACTTATAAAATTTTTAGATATAACATTTTAGATTTGGTTACTTAGGCCGTTTGGTTCAGTTTTCAAGTGCTTCAGTTTTTTGATATTATTCATATTTCATAAGTTTAACTTTTCATCCTAAAAACTTACAAGTGCTTCAGTTTCTTGATATTATTTATATTTCATAAGTTTAACTTTTCATCCTAAAAACTTACTTTTTTAAACATTTTTTTTTAATCTTAAAAAGACTCTAAACAGTAAAAGATCAAAAACTTCAAATTTAAGTTTTTTTTATAAATTTTCTTTTTACTCATTTTTTCCTATTTCTAAAAACAACTTTTAAAATTTTCTTCCAATAAAAATTTAAACTTATTACTCATAAATAGTACAAAAAAAATAAAAACTCCAACAAGTTGCACCAAACAGGCCCTTATTTAAATACTTGAAGACTTATATTTAGTATTTAACTCAAAAGATATTAAGTAATTTGTGAGTATATACTTATATACTTATTGAATGATACTTTATTTTAAATTTTTTTCAAATTAAAATTTAATAAAATATTATTTACTTTCCATCTAAATTTAAATAAAATTAGTAAAATTTTAATAAAATATTATTTATTACATTCTAAACTTAAATATATTCTAAAATAATAATAGAGAAATAAAATTTGATTTCATATTAAGAACTCAAATTTAGGTATTATCAAAAAACTAAACTCAATTAAATAATTAATAATAAAGAACAAAAAATATGTATCAAAAAAATAAAAAATGAAAATAAATTAAGTAATAGAATGAAAGTCCTTTAAAAAAAAAATCCAATATTTTAGACTCAGTCTCCCTAATTTTCTATTTTGGTTTGTCAGAAAAGGATAGTGATAGATAATATTGTGTCTATTTTAACATTTTGATATCCATGTTTTCACCTTACGATTCTTATCATATTAAATTTGAAGTTTAAAGTTAAAAAATCATATACACAAAATAAACAAAAACTATGAATTAAAAAATACTAATAGAAAGTTAAAAAGAAAACTAAAAAGAATCAAAATTTGAAATTATAAATATTCATAGTTGCCTAAGTGTGCATAGAAAGAAAAAAGTTGTTGGTTATATGTGTAATATATGTTTGGTTTAGAGTTTGTCATTTATAGGTTGTGTATGTGATTATTTTTATTTTTATTTTTATTTTTATATTTTGTTATTTTTATTTTTAAAAATTATTATTATATAGATATTAAGTGTAATAAATATATATAAAATTTTCATTATACAAGTATATGTAATATGTCAATTAAATAAAACAATTAAATAAGTTAGATAAATAGTTTTGAAGTTTTATACTTATTATTTAACTTGATATTTATAAATATATTATTTTCATACCTATTATGTACCTAATTTTTTTACAATTCAAGTAAAATACCTATTCAAATGAATAAAATACTTATAAATATAGGGTATATTCGTACCTAACACTTAAATTAAGTATTTTGTAGGTTAAATCTCTAATTTGATTATTGAACTATTGTACAGATTTCTGATTTTGTCCCTGAACTAAAAAAATCCCTGATTTGGTCTCTGAACTATTATACGAACCTCGATTTGGTCCTTACCATTTACCAATTTGCCCTAAATTGGTTCTTCCGTACAAAAAAAACTGACATGTCTAATATTTAATGACGAAAAATAGTAACTTAATGGTAAAAAACAATAATTTAATAGTCACGTGTCACGTTAATAACGAGACATGTCAACTGTTTTTGTATAGAATGACGAACTTGGGGCAAATTGGTAAATAATAAGGACCAAATCAGTGATTCGTACAATAGTTTAGGGATCAAATTAGGAATTTTTTTAGTTTAGGGACCAAATCAGGGATCCATACAATAGTTCAGGGACCAAATTGGGGATTTAACCTATTTTGTATTGTATTCACCTGGAGGAAGGGTTTGTCCCACTTTGGGCTGAGCTTGGGTGTTGCCACTTGCTCTCCTGGGGTTGTCCTAGCATGTAGCTTCATGGTTTCTATAAGAGTGATCGATTGCGTTGTTAATTTATTAAAAATAGAAGTACTTGGAGCACATGATAATGGTTTCTATAAGAGTGATCGATTGCGTTGTTAATTTATTAAAAATAGAAGTACTTGGAGCACATGATACACGTTACATTGGAGCACATGATACACGTTACATGACATCACAACCATGCCATTATTTCATTCTTTCTGTAGGCTACAAGAGAACAAAATAATGTGGATTGAGAGTTGCTATAAAATAAGAGAGATCGTCTGTGTTGTTCAATTCACTGGCGTGGTTAAGAAAACAGGAAATGATTTCATTACTAACAATATCGGACAGTCTCGTACTGGCTGGCCTTTTTCTCTTCTTCTCCCTCCCACTTTATCTCAAACTCAAAAGAGGTAGCAAACTCAATCTGCCTCCCTCGCCACCAAAGTTACCAATTATTGGCAACCTTCATCAGCTTGGCAAACTACCTCACCGCTCTCTTCTTGCCTTATCTCGTAAGTATGGCCCCTTAATGCTTCT